ATTGTTCTTAATCACTTTTGATCAATCATTGTTCTTTCTATTAGATCATCAAGATCACCCTTGTAAACTCTTTTATTACCAAAAATCAATATAAACAACGTATTCATTCTCTAAAGTTCTTAAGGGATTCAGCCCACGATTGTCTTCTCCCCAATCCTAACCTAACCTAAACTAGGAAGTGAGTTTTATCCCTCACAGAAGCCATGAATGAATCCTCCTGCAAGAAAAAAAAGAGAGGACTTTGAATGCACATGATTAGAATTTAAACCCAAGCCTTGAAGAAAAAGACCAAGTAAGAGGAGTTTCAATGATTGGAGCAAAGTCTTTCTCGTTGCAGTATACTTGCGTGAGGAAGTTATAGAACAGGAGCAAAGGAAGCTTTTTTTTTCCTAAAAAACAAAAAAAATTGAACTCGTGTCCCTCTGAAGATCGGAAATAAAGAATTCTAAGTGACCAAGGGATGCTTTTTCAGAGCAAAAGATGTTAATCGAGGAGATGATTTTATTGCTTGCAGTTTATTTAAAAAGCTTAAACCTATTGAAATAGTGGTATGATTGGAAGTTAGAGAAGACACGATTATTTTATTGATGAGAAAATTTAGGGATTTGATTTTTGTTTCAAAAATATATCCTACTTAGTTATTTTTTTTACATTATTTTTGTTTCAAGCTATCATATTGGTAAACACTACACACGTGAAATGTTGTAATTATCTTTTCGGCCGTACTTTCTTTTCTCCACGTTCTACAACGAACATTAATATTATTGTTTTTTAAACCCCTTTCCACCTGTCAATTGCTTTTAATTTGTTTTTAATTTTTTTTCCACATGTCGGCTTTTGATTGGCCAGCCGACTTGTGCTTTAGTATATAGAGGATTTCAGATTCCGGTTTATAATTACTCAATCTATACCGGTTTAAGATTCACCAACCCAAAATCTAAACCAGAAAAAGACAAGTAAGCTGATGGTTATTCCCGGTTTTTCTCATCCGTATTACAAAAGTTACACAAAATGAACAATACATTCAACTCTACACGTTACGCGAACCGAATTATACCGCACACAAACCAAATCTGAGATACCGGTACACCACTTTGGTTTCCCGGTTTATGTATTGACTATAAACACTCTATAAAGCAAAGACGATGCGCGGTTTATAATTTCTCAACCATATACCGGTTTAAGATTAACCAACCCAAAAGACTAATCCAAACAAAAAAACAAGCAGTATGATGGTTATTACCAGTTTTGCTTCATCCGTACTACACAAGAGACTCTACACATTATACAAACCGAATTATGCCGCACACAAACCCAATCTGAGATATACCGGTACACCACTTTGGTTCCCCGGTTTATGTATTGACTATGAACACTCTATAAAGCAGTGACTTGTTTATCTGCCAGCGTTGGTCATTAGCTGAGAGAAAACTTGACTACTATTGAGTATGCCTGAAGTTTCATCTCCATTGTCCATCTCTGTGTTCGAGTCACTAGACGGACCTTGCCTTTCCCTCGTCCCCGAGCCAGTAGCGTCTACATGAGCTGCTGCGTCAGTGTTGTCATCCAATGGTCCAGATTCTTGAAGCTGGAGCACATGTTCTAAGTTCCACAGAACATCACCTATGGTCGGTCTATCCACGCCGTAATCAGCACAGCATTTCTCTGCAGTTTCCGCAAACTTCTTCAACGAGCACGGTTTGATCTGATCAGCAATGTTTTTATCCACGATTTGATGAAGCATTCCTTTCTTTTGCCACTTAATAGCCCACTCAGCTAAGTTCACTTGCTCCCTTACAAGCAACGGGTCAACAGCTGGTCTAGCGCAGAGAACTTCAAACAAAACAACTCCAAATGAATAAACATCTGACTTATCAGTAAGCTGTTGTCTCCTGAAGTACTCAGGATCAAGATAACCAAAGCTTCCTTTCACCCCTGTGCTCACATGAGTCTCATCAAGACAAGGACCTGATCTCGACAGTCCAAAATCTGCAACTTTGGCTACATAGTTGTTATCTAGTAATATATTGGTGGATTTGATATCACGGTGGATGATTCCTTGTGAAGAACCGGTGTGAAGGTAATGAAGACCTCTTGCAGCACCAATGCATACCTCAAGCCGTTGTTTCCAAGTCAAAGGAGGGTTGTTGGAACCGTATAAGTGACTCTTGAGCGGTCCTTTGTCCATGTACTCATACACAAGAATCATTTCAGATTGTTCTTCACAGTATCCAACAAGGGAAACGAGATGTCGATGACGGATCTTAGAGAGAATGGTTATCTCAGAGAGAAACTCTGGTAACCCCTGTCTTGAACCAGGGACGCCTCTCTTCACAGCTACTTTAGTGTTGTCCTTGAGAGACCCTTTAAAGACCATCCCAAATCCTCCAACTCCTATGACTAAACTCTTGTCAAAGTTATTAGTTCCGGATTGTATCTCAGCGAAAGAGATTCTCAGAGTCTGGTAACCATTAGAGCTAACAGTTCCTTCAGTTGTTCTACTGATGGAACTGTTTCTAAACCTCCTCAAAGGAGTCCACCCTGTGCTCTCTGACCTCTTCGTTTTACTCTTCTTACCTCTGCAAAACCACAAACCACACAAGAATAGCAGAGCCAAGAACACAAGACTTCCCAACACCGAGCCAGCAACAATCCACACCACATTCTTCTTACCAAATCCCTTTTTAGAACTCACAGAACTCACAACCCTCATAATCTCCACTCCATTCAATATAGCATTAACCCTCGCGGGATTACTAAGATCAGATGGTCCAACACTAATCCTCACCCTTCCCTCACCATCAGACTCAGCAACAAAGTCAACATAAAACGGAGACGCAAGCACATGGAAGTTCAACGCAGAGAGATCAACATCTCTATACGCAAGCAAATCATTGATAAACACATTGAAGTAAAGCTGATTAAGCGAAGAGCTAACAATGTCACAAAAATGCAACCGAACCAAATGAAGAACACGTCTGCCACCACCAACAGGAAACTCCCAGCTAATATTAAACCTCGCCTGCAACTCCTGGTTATCTCTATTCATCTCCCGAGCAGTCATATAAACATTGTCAGGAGCTATCTCCCTACTCGCCCCACCGCTCTGATAATTCGGAGTGTGAGTAGTCCACGCACGCTTAGCAGCTCCTTTAAGTAAAAGATAGTCATCGTCTACAAGCCAAGTCCTCCACAAAGAATCATTAAACGGAGTCAACTTCAAACCACCGACGTTGATTCTGTGAACCGTCTCAAGAACTTGGGAAGACAAGTTGCTAAAGATTTGAGTTGAGTCCGGGACAACACGCTTCGTCCCCTGATCGATTATGTAATCTTTAGGCGCTGAGAAGACTTCTATAGCGTTGACAAAGGCGAAGTTTGAAGGGAGGAACGTAATCTCGAGAACAGGGGAGTCAATTTTGAGTATAAACTCTTTCACGACGACGGAGTTGGTGGAGAAGGTGTTTAAGAGAGGGAAGGCGTTCACCAAAACTGAGAATTTCGCTGTTTTTAAGTTAAAGTTTGGAGCTTTGAATGGGGAGAAGTGGAGACGGAGGAAGTGAGTGGTGTTGCTGGTGAGGTGGAGTTTGTATGAGGGTGATTTGGTGAGGAAGATACGAGCTGTGTTGTATAGAGAGGGGGAGTTTGGAGGTGGGTTTGGGTTGGAGAGAGAGATGGATCGATCGGTGGAGAGGAAGGATGAGGAGGAGTCGGAGAGGAAGGAGCGGGTGGAGAAGAAGGAGGTGTTGGTGTTGGAGCCGCAGTTGAGGAGGTAGTTGTCTTGTGGAGTGAAAGTTGCGGAGAGGAGGGGGAGAAGGGAGGAGAGGATGATTAGATTTAGTGGAAACGCCATTGGAGAAAGTGGTTTGGGAAGAGAAGAGATGAGATGAGAGGAGGGAGAGGAAATAGGGAGAGAGAGCTAGAAAGTGCGTATTCGCTGGCGCTTTTCTGTAGTCATTTCGTATTTTCCACTAATGTCAGTGAAAAAAAAAGAAAGTGTGTTGAGAATCATTATAGGGTGCGAGTTTTGTCAACTAAACAGTGGGAAACGAAAAACTGGCTTAGCAAGTTTTTGATCGGTGGCAATCGTTTTCGAAAAGGTTAGCTTTTTTCTAATAATTGATTTTACTGATTTGGTAAAAGATTAAGGAAGGAAGCTTTGGTTAAACCAGTCTTTTACGCTATCATGAGTAAGATTATGACTGTGGTTTTCACTATGCAGTTAATGGGCTTGGACCGATGCATTACTCAAAAACGAAGCCTAGCTATTCGAAGTTTTTTTTTTCTTTTTTGAGAGAATCGATTTGTCTACTGTTGACATAAGCTTGAGATAACTTAGGAGATAACTTAGGAGAAAAGATATTCTAATGAGTTTAGGATAAGAGTTATCAATGAGTTTTTGAAGTTATCTAGAAACGATGTTTATCTAATGAGCTTAGGATTTTATCGTTTACTATATAAGCTGATGTAACATGACTTGAGAAGTTGTGAGCTTTGAGTTATTAATATAAGTGAGTACTTCTTGAGAAACAGAGCCTTGAATCTTTTGTTTACGTTTCAATAATTGGTATCAGAGCTTTATTGAAAGTTTAAACATGGAAGACAAGGATCTAGCTATAACGACAATCAAACCAAAGGGGAGCGGTCTTTCGGCGATACAATGTCCGATGCTTAACACCACAAACTATACGGTGTGGAGCATGCGGATGTAATGCTAAAGGTCCACAAGGTGTGGGAAACAATCGAGCCCGGGTCAGATGATGCAGACAAAAACAACATGGCCCGAGCACTGCTGTTTCAATCAATACCAGAGGCTTTACTTCTGCAGTTTGGAGGTCTTAAGACATCAAAAGAAATTTGGGAAGCAATAAAGACAAGATATGTAGGAGCTGATAGGGTGCGTGAAGCTAGACTGCAGACTTTGATGGATGATTTCAACAGGTTAAAGATGAAAGATACTGAAACTATAGATGAGTTCTCAGGAAGAATTACAGCCATATCTTCAAAGTCATCAGCCTTAGGAGAAGAGATTGAGGAGCCAAAACTAGTGAAGAAATTTCTCTGCAGCCTTCCAAAGAAGAAATACATACAGATTGTTGCTACTCTTGAGCAAGTTCTAAATCTTAACACCACTACTTTTGAAGACATAGTTGGAAGACTAAAAACTTATGAGGAGAGGTGCCAAGATGATGAGCCACAGGAGGAGCAGGGTAAACTCATGTATGCTAATATGGATACACAAAATTCTCAAGAAGGTCAAGGTAGAGGAAGAGGACAAGGTGGACGCTACTCTAACTTCAGAGGAAGGGGACGAGGAAGAAACAATAATCAGAGAGATTGGAAACAAGGAAGAGATAGCTTGAAGGTGGTATGTTTTCGCTGTGACAAAACAGGACATTATGCTTACAACTGTCCTGATCGTCTTCTCAAGCTTCAAGAGATACAAGAGAATGATGATGAGAGCACACGGGAAGCTGAGGAACTGATGGTCAACGAAGTAGTCTATCTCAATGAGGAGAATGTGAGACCAAGTAAGTTTGATGCGCGCACTGATCAGGATAATGTCTGGTACTTAGACAATGGAGCAAGCAACCATATGTCTGGGAATCGAGATTATTTTTCAGTCATTGATGAAAAGGTCACAGGAAAGGTGAGGTTCGGTGATGATTCACGCATAGATATAAAGGGCAAAGGATCAATTACTTTCATAAGTAAAGATGGAAAGCGAAAGATATTGGGTGAAGTCTACTTTATACCGGAGCTAAGGAGTAACATAATCAGTCTTGGACAGGCAACGGAGGCTGGATGTGACGTACGGATGAAGGAAAGCTATCTCATGTTGTATGATCGGGAAGGAAATCTGCTGGTAAAGGCTATCAGGTCTAGAAACCGGTTGTACAAGGTTGTCATGGAAGTAGATAATAAAAAGTGTCTGCTACTTAGAAGAAACAGTGATTCTGCTCTTTGGCACTCAAGACTTGGACATGTCGGACTAGAAAACATGAGAGCCATGATGAATAAGAAGATGGTCACTGGCATACCTAATATAAGTATTGAGAAGGAAACGTGTGCCTCGTGCCTACTAGGGAAACAAACCAGAGCAAGTTTCCCGAATGCAACTTCCTATCGAGCTACACAAGTGCTTGAACTTGTACATGGTGACCTCTGCGGACCCATATCACCATCAACTGCGGGAGGTAACAGATACATTTTTGTGTTGATTGATGATCACACACGTTACATGTGGACAATCTTGATAAGAGAGAAGAGTGAAGCGTTTGCGAAATTCCAGAAGTTTAAGAAACTTGTCGAGCAAGAAACTGGTGGTAAAATCAGAACATTCCGAACAGATCGGGGAGGTGAATTCACATCCACTGAGTTCAAGAATTTCTGTGATGATCAAGGAGTACATCGTCATCTCACCGCACCCTACTCACCTCAACAGAATGGGGTCGTTGAGAGACGAAACTGGACCCTGATGGAGATGACAAGAAGCATTATGAAAGCCATGGAGGTACCAAACTACTTGTGGGGAGAAGGAGTGAGGCACACAACGTACATTATCAATAGAGTGGCAACACGTACGTTAAAGAGCATGACACCGTATGAATGTCTCAAGAAGAAGAAACCAAGCGTGGAACACCTTAGAGTATTTGGCTATGTGTGTTTTGCAAGAAGTGAGGCACCATATCTTAGGAAGCTGGATGACAGGTCTCGGACGTTGATACATTTAGGAGTTGAGCCAGGATCAAAAGCATATCGACTATATGATCCAAACAACCGAAGAATTGTGGTAAGTCGAGATGTTGTTTTTGATGAAAACAGAGTATGGAAGTGGAACTCAAGTGAAAAGGAGACACACAGCTCCATAATGACTACACTCCCTGAGATAGAAACTCGAGATAGCAATGCTATCACTGCTGACAAGAAGGATGATGATCACAACTCTAGTGAAGAAGATGACGTTGCAGGTGAAACTGATGTGCATGAGACATCTGAGGAACATCATGTGTTGAGAAGATCATCAAGAGAAAGCGTGAAACCAAAATACTTAGAAGATTATGTACTACTCTCAGAAGCTATGGAGGAGGCAGAACGGATTCTGTTTTTGATAAATGAGGAACCATGGGACTGGAGTGAGGCAAAAACAGAGAAGGTTTGGAGAGATGCCTGTGAAGAAGAAATAGCATCAATAAGGAAGAATCATACGTGGACTCTTGTTGATCTACCCGATGGATGCAAAGCTATTGGGTTGAAGTGGATTTTTAAAGTGAAACACAATGCCGATGGTAGCATAAATAAGTACAAGGCGAGGCTCGTGGCAAAGGGTTATGTACAACGTCATGGTGTGGATTTTGAGGAGGTGTTTGCTCCTGTAGCAAGAATGGAGACAGTACGAGTGATCATAGCTTTGGCAGCGTCAAGGGGGTGGGAGATACACCACCTTGATGTAAGAACAGCGTTTCTTCATGGCGAGTTACAAGAAGAAGTATTTGTGGCGCAGCCTGAGGGTTTCAAGATAAAAGGAAAGGAGAGTAAGGTTTACAAGCTACATAAAGCCTTGTATGGCTTAAAACAAGCTCCAAGGGCATGGAATATCAAACTGAATCAGATTCTTAAGGAGCTTAACTTCGTCAAGTCATCAAAGGAACCCTCACTGTTTCGTCGCAGGAAACCGAACTCACTACTTCTAGTTGCAGTCTATGTTGACGATTTACTTATTACAGGCTCAAGTCTAAAGGATATCTGTGAGTTTAAGGAAGAGATGGCGTTGAAGTTTGAGATGAGTGATCTCGGAAAACTCAACTACTATCTTGGTATTGAAGTTATTCAGGTACAAGGGGGAGTTGTTTTGAAACAGGAGCGATATGCAACTAAGATTCTCGAGGAGACGGGTATGATGGAATGCAATGCAGTTCACATTCCAATGGAGGCTGGTCTCAAACTGTCAAAAGCATCTACTGAAGAAAGCATCAACGAAGGAACCTACAGGAGAAACATTGGGTGTCTTCGGTACTTAATTCATACCAGACCTGATTTGGCGCATAGTGTTGGGGTTCTAAGCCGTTATATGCATGACCCAAAGGCATCACATGGAGTTGCTCTGAAGCAAGTGTTAAGGTATCTGAAAGGGACGTGTTCACTTGGTCTGTTTTATAGGAATGATGGAAAGAGGAACTGGTGGGATACAGTGATGCAAGTTCCAATGTGGATCCATATGATGGGAAGAGCACAACAGGGCATATTTTCTACCTCAATGACTGTCCAGTAACTTGGTGTTCACAAAAGCAAGAGATTGTTGCTCTTTCATCGTGTGAAGCCGAGTTTATGGCAGCCACTGAGACTGCAAAACAGGCGCTTTGGTTACATGAACTTCTTGAAGAAATAACAGATGACGAGGAAAGGAAGGTGGTCATTCGTATTGACAACAAATCAGTGATTGCCTTGACTAAGAATCCAGTTTTCCACGGACGCAGCAAGCACATTCACCGACGTTTTCATTTCATAAGAGAATGTGTGGAAGATGGTCTTGTGACGATTGAGCATGTAGCAGGGAAGGAGCAGAAGGCTGATGTCCTAACTAAGGCACTTGGGAGAATCAGTTTCAAAGAGATGATAGATATGATTGGAGTTCAAAATGTGTCTAAAGATGTTCTCAAGCTTAAGGGGGAGAATGTTGACATAAGCTTGAGATAACTTAGGAGATAACTTAGGAGAAAAGATATTCTAATGAGTTTAGGATAAGAGTTATCAATGAGTTTTTGAAGTTATCTAGAAACGATGTTTATCTAATGAGCTTAGGGTTTTATCGTTTACTATATAAGCTGATGTAACATGACTTGAGAAGTTGTGAGCTTTGAGTTATTAATATAAGTGAGTACTTATTGAGAAACAGAGCCTTGAATCTTTTGTTTACGTTTCAATATCTA